ATTGACCTGACCCAATCTTCAATTGGGTGGTGTTGGTCACTGAGCAGAAGAGAAGCCTCAGCTCAAACCCAGCTCTGGCTTTAGCTTTTCCATCTCCTGACTGCCTCCTATCAAGGTGATAGATGCCAGCACACCCCGGGGGGAAAGATGTGACTTGTGCTCACTTCAGATCCAGCTCCCCCACCAATGCCACTGAGCACATACGGTCTGTATACAGATGCTCTGACACAAGGGCACCACTTCAAGACCAGGATCGACAACTGTTTCACCTAATTTCATGTAGACAGAGAAAGTTAAGCAAAATAAGAAGACAGAGGAAATTGTTTCAAATAAAATAACAAAGAAAAAAACCGTGAAAGAACAACTAATGAAGCAGAGACAACTTACCACATAAAGTTTTCAGAGCATTAGTGGTAAGAATGCCAACTGAACTTGGAAAAGAGGAGATTAACACACCGAGAATTTTAGCAAAGAACTAGAAAACATAAAAAAGAACCAGTCAGAAGTGAAGAATTGAATAACTGAAATGAAAAACACAAGAAGGAATTAACAGCAAACTAGGTGATACTAAAGAGCATGTAAGATGTCTGGAAGGTAGACTAATGGAAGTCGCCCAATCAGAACAGCAAAAGGAAAATCAAATGAAAAATGAGAAAAGTATAAGGGACCTATGAGATAACAGGAACTGTACCAATGTTCCAATTATAGGGGTCCCGGAGGAGAAGAATAAAGGGTTGAAAATGTATTTGATGAAATTATGACTAAAAACTTCTGGACCTGAAGAAGGAAAAGATATCCAGGTGTTGAACAAGAGCGTTCCAAACAAGATGAACCTAAAGACACCAAGACACATTACAAGTAAAATGACAAAAGTTTAAGAGGAAGAGAGAATTCTAAAGATAGCAAGAGAAAAACAGAGTCACGTACAAGAGATATCCCCTTCAGGCTATCAGCTGATTTTTGTTCAAGAACTTTGTAGGCCAGAAGGGAGTGGCATGATATATTCAAAGTAGTGAAATGGAAACACCTAACACCTAGGGTCTTCTACCCAGCAAGGTTATTGTTCAGAATTGAAAAAGAAGTAAAGGACTTCTCAGACAAGCAAAAACTGAAAGAGTTCATCAACACCAAACCCAGCCTAAAAGAAATGTTAAAGTGTCTTCTACACATGGAAAGGAAAAATCTACAATAAGAAGTTTGATAATCAAATGATATGAAAATAACCAAGGGAACACATAAATGGAATCTGCAAAGGGATCGTTGATGTCCATAATCTACTTGAGCTTGTCTAAACATCACCATCTCTCAGACTTCAGTGACATGAACTTTTCTTCTCATCCTGAAAACAAAGAGAGTAGGAATTGAATACAATAATGACACTGTTGAAAGCATGGCTTAATTATGGGTTTTGGTTCTACCCTGACCCATAAAGTTTGCTTGGGGCTTCTGGAAGGAAACACTTAGAGTGTAAAGTAATACAATTTCTCTTACATTTTGGGCCAAGAATATGATTGGTGACAATGGAGGGAACACTCTCCCTATGAGAGAAAACTGAAATCTACAACTTGTGGAGTATTAATTAGACTGTTGATACAGCATTTAATCCTTGAGCCTCAGGAGATCTTGAGACTCTGTTGTGGGAGATAATCAATCAATCAATCAGTCAATCTATCTATCTATCTATCTATCTATCTATCTATCTATCTATCTATCATCATCTATCTAACTATTTAGATTAAGATAAACTCTACATAACATCCAATTCATTTGAAATAGTACAGTTCAGTGGGTTTTAGTACATTCAGAGTGTTGTGCAATTACCACCACTATCTGATGCCAGAACCTTTTTATTATCCCAAGGAAACCCCATACCAATTAAGGACTCACTCCCCAGGCTCTGGAAATGACTAATTTACTTTCTGTCTATAGACAGATCTCTTCTGGACACTTCATATAAATAGAATCATACAATATATCTCCTTGTGTGTCTGGCTTTTTTCACTAACATTTTGTTTTCAAAGTTTATACAAGTGTCCATAATTAATTTCTGTTAAAGGCTGAATCTTATTCCATTGCATGCATACACCACAGTTTATTTATCCATTCATCAGTTGATGGATATTGGGGTTGCTCACACTTTTTAGGTATAGTGCTGCTATGAATATTCATATAAAAATTTTGGGTTGAACACCTGTGTCCAGTTTTGGGGGGTATATATCTAGGAGTGAAATGCTGGGTCATAAGATAATTCTATGCTTATTAAAAAAAAACCTCATGCTTTATTAAAGTTGAAATAATCCACACAAATTTTATTTTCTTCCCCAAATATACCAGCAAATGTTCTTTATTACTCCTAGATAGACCAAAAAGCACTTATTTTTATAGGTTTTCAGGGTTTTGTTTGTAAATTAAGATGAGGTAGTAAATGTGGGCATGGAAAAAGAGAAGAAAATAGATGGTTAAGTTGTCAGTAACCATGGCTTCTGATTCTGCCCTAACAATGCCCTAATGTTTTCAACATACGACTACTAAAAAGCTTATGAAGATGTACACTCAAGAAAGGAGGGAAAACAACAACCACCAGATAGAATGTTTGTTTAGTAACCCCTGAGGACTTCTACAGGAACAATTTCTATTAATTAATTTTCCTAAATGTGAGCCATTTTTCTTGTGTCTTTGTAAAAACATATTTTTTGATAAAAACTTGACATGTGAAATATTAGTTCATATTCTCGTGTTACAACTGTGGAAATCAGGTTCTCCCCTCTAACCAGCAATTGTAGTTGCTCCTTATTTTAACAGTTGTTACTTTGTTTAGGGTATTTTCTGATCCAATCTTGTGAATTCTATAGTCTTTATCATATACTGTCACTGAAGTTTTTGTTCCATTAACCTAAAGGTCAGCCAGTGACTAAA